TACACTGCACTTTACATCCCTTGACTATTGTTATAACTGTCAACTAGTATTTCTTAATCCCCTTCCCCTTCCCCTTTTCACTCATCCCCCCCAAGCCCCCTTCCATCTGCAGCCATCAGTTTGTTCCTCAGTATCTATGAGTTTCTGTTTTCAGTTCCAGATTCTTCACATTCTTTATGTGTATGTGTAATCAAATTCTAATCTCAGTCTTGGGCACCATTTCTCAGTTAGGGAATGATGGGAATAACTGTTTAGAAAGGTTATATAAATCTCAATCTGGGAAGAAGAGCCTAGCTCAGATGCCTCAATAGGTGAATCCAAAGCCAGCAGCAACATGTCTTGCTAGGTGCGAGGCCAACTGTGGAGGGAGAGCTTCGCACTCTGGCCGCCAGGGGGAGTGTGAGTTTCCCGAGCTCGGTTGTCTGAGTCAGCGTGGGCGTGGGCGTGGGCGTGGGCGTGGGCGTGGGCGTGGGTGTTGATGTGAGCGACAACTACCTGGCCCCGCATCCATGTCTTTTAGGTTGCAGGGTCGTGTTTGAGGACATGGGCGACAAGTATGCTACTCTGCGGCGGGCCCAACTGCATCTGGATTTCATCCACGCCAACTCGTGAGTGCTGGGTAGAGTATGAATAGGCAGGAAGGGAGTCTCCACACAGTGAAGAGTTTGGTCCATCTCCTAGTGAAATACTCTGTTTGGGCGAGGAGGGCTTGGTATTATTGATTTATGGAAATATTTGTTTCTTTAAAGTTGATTGCTTTAAAAAGAAAAGCAGTGAAAAATGATAAAGATATATATTCTAGGCCAGGCTAAACCTTTTCTTTTTTTTCCCCATTAACAGCGCATAGTAGGAATTAACATTTAACAAGACTATTTAATTGTAGGGAAGCAGAATCCTTCTACCAAGGTTGCCTATCTCTAGTGATGTCTCTGCCCAACACATTGACATTTTAAAGATTAAAGTTGCTTCCATAGAGTAATTTGTTTATTGATTCCAGCCTCTGTGGCCTCCAGAGCTTTCGAAAAATGGAATTCTATCTCTGAAGATAGAATTCTCACATTTTAGTTATTACAAGGACACTCTTGCTTCTCTGTCAGGCTCAGATGTCTTCTGGCTACTCATTAGGTGTTATTTCAAATACTCAGATTGCAGAGGCAGATGACAGAGATTTTCTATTCCATCAGTCATTTCAAACACAGCAAAGAATAGCAGAAAGTGCTGTATAATTCACAGTGGTATTTTTTTTTTCGGGAATCTTATAGTAATTTGGATTTATTAAAAGTACTGATTGATATAAGAGATGCACTAGGTTTGAAACTACAGAAATGGAAGTGTAAAGAAAGCCAGGGACCACCAGCATTGGTGCATGGGACAAACTGTAATTTTTACAGAAAATAGAGCAAAAGAGTCAATGTTCAGCAGATATTGAGATTTTATTTCTCTATCATGGAGAATAATTTCAAGCTCAAAAGGATGAGACAGAGGTGGAATACAAATGAAGAAATAGAAATTTGAAGTTCAGTTTAAGAAAAATTATAAACTGAATGCTGGAAGGACTGTGAATTTTATCTCAGGAAAGTTCTCCAGCCTCAGTTGTATATAGTTTCTGCAGCTATTGCTTCCCAGCCTCCTTCTCTCCCAAACCACCTTGTGGTGCCCCCTGCCCCATTTCATTATCAGTTGGTCGTCTGGTCACTTAAAAGCAAAAATGAAAGTAGCGTGAAGCAACAGCACCAAAGTCAGATACAAATTGGCATCTTCTCAGTTCCCCGAGGTAGCTGAGATTTCCAATCCTCAGTAAAAACAGGAATGATTTCTTTATTCCTCCCTTGCTTCACCCCCACATCCAATCCATCATCAAGTCTTCATGCTTTCTCCAGCTAGGTGTCGAATTCATTTGTTCCTCTCCATCTCCATTGCCATTGACTTTAGTCCAAATCACTGCCCTTCCCCTCTGGACATAGCCCCAAAGTGGGTTCTCTGTTTCTCATTTTTGCTCCGCCGTGGTCCATTTTCCTGAAAGCTGCCAGTGTGAGCTTTTAAAAAACTAACTAGACATGTTATTCTTCTTGAAACATGACGGTGCTTTCCAGTTGCATGTAGACCAAGTATGAGCTCCTAACCATGGAACAGGAAGCACTGCATGACCCGGCTATCCCACATCTCAGCGTGATCTGTTTTACCATAGCCAGACCAGGCTAGCCTCCTTGCCTCTTTTCTGCTTCAGGGTCTTTTCATCTTTTACTCTTGCTGGAAAGTTTTCTCCTTGTATGTGCAAGGGACTGAGTTTTCCTCATATTTCAGGGCTCCATTTAAATGCTTTCTGTGAAGAGAGGGTCTCCCTGACCACCATGTCCTCTCCCCACCAGTTCCTCTTCCCCATCGCCCCTCCTTCATAGCACCTAATCAGTCTATCATAGCATCTTAATGTATTTATTGCTCGTGTATTTTCCACATACCCCATTAGCTTGATCACCAAAAGAGAAAAGACCATGTCCCTTCACATTGGCATATGGTAGGCAGACAATTTCTTAAGTGAAATAATACAAGAAATTTATGTGGCATCTTCTTTCTTTCTTTTTCCTTCCTTCCTTCCTTCCTTCCTTCCTTCCTTCCTTCCTTCCTTCCTTTCTTTTTTTTTTAAGACAAAACTGTTAGAACGTGTTCACATGCTGGTGAGAATGATCCAGTTGAAAAAGACAACTCCGTGATGCTGTGGAGGAGGAATCATTGTAAGCCTCTCTTTCTTGTTTGTCAGAATGGTTGCAATGATTTCTCTGAAGGATTGTTTATATATTGAATATCTGTACATTGAATCATGTGGTTTAAACTGTTGGTTTTGTAAAATGTATCATCTACACTTCTCTTTTGCTTTATTTTGGAATGTTATATACTAGCTTTCTTTTGAGTGAAAGACACTTTTTTACAAGCTTGAAAGTTGACTTGGGTTAAGAGAGTCTTCATCAGCATGTGTTTAAAGTGCAAACTTCCAAAAAATGGATATATGTATGTACTTTTTTTAAAAAATAATTTTTTCAGCTAACATATTGTCCTATGGCCCGAGGCATTGGGAGTTTCTCAGACATTGCAAATGATCCTTTCTCCCGTACAGATAAGCAGATGTTTTTTGATAACTGGATCTCTTTTGCTTTTGCTACCTGTTTCCTGAGTATAAAAAGAAAATTGCACACTGAATCTTCTCTTAATGCCTTGATAAGATTGGTGATTGAAATATCCACACCAGGAAATGAAAAGCAAATGTGAGACCCAGAAGGCAGCTTGATTTCACCCACAGATGAACATTCAGCCTTCAAAGTGTAAATAGTGATGGTTGTCTAGTGTATTCTGTTACCCAGGACCTGGCAAGAGGAGGTAGAGGAGAGAGTGACTGACTGTAGGTAATTCATGAGGTTATTTAAGGAGCAGGCTTTTCAGAAAAATATAGATTATTGGGGTAAATAGGGGTCTTCTGCCAGAGCCTGTGACTGCTGATGGAGTCTTAAGGCCTTTTAGTGGGCCAGGATTTTGATCAAGATTTTTCAGAAATAATTTGGTCTTAGATAATAAGATTTCAATAAAAAAAATCTTTAACTTGAACAGATGTTTATGAAACAATTTTAAAATATCAGCCTTTGTTCTAAGTACAGTAAAGTCCTTGAAATTTTTGTTTTATTAGGAGCAGACGTGATATACTAGCAATCGTGCTCTCAGCCCTGACTTTGTAATGGAGTACATCTACTTCAGAATCTTGACTGTGCAGACAAAGTTGTTTCTAGAATAACTCCTTAATTGATTATCTGTCTAGAACTAAAGAACATTTGTCTGTAAGTGTCTTGAATCTTTTACACTGACTACAGAGTTAGTTTAACTTTTGGTTTTCCCTCTATTTCTTCATCAGCACCACTCACAGTTTCCTTTTTGGAGCACTGGCTGAATTACTGGACAATGCAAGGTAAGGGTAATCTGTGAACAAAGGTCACTGTGGGTACCTCATGACATAAATTGAGTCTAGTTAGTTATCTTTAAAGTTGAAAAGATAATTTCATTTTTTCCCACTTGGAATATTTTGTGACTTAATTTCCTGTAAAAGCAAGATACTATATAGGAAAAAGGATAGATGGAAGGAAGAATTATTCATTTTTAGTTTGTATATATGTGGGTAAATTAGATGTCTGTTTTTGTGTTGATAACCATGTAACAGCAGATATTGATTTGAATATTTTTGAGTTATATATCAATGTACACTATGTTTTGAGAATTTAGATTTGGGTTTAGGCATTTATTGAAGTCTGTGTTGAAGTGAATTGCATAGTTAAGGAGAAAATAGCTAACAATTATCGATCTCTCCTGTTCTAAGTACCTTATATATTGGGTATTACCTCATTTATCTTTACAACAACACTTTGAGATAGAAATCGTTATCCCAATTCTACACACATGGAAGTTGATGCACAGAGAGGTTAGATGACCTATTCAAGGTCATACAATTGATATCTGACAGATTTAGAATTCAAATTTAGGCTGTCTGGCTTCAGAACTCCCCCTCCCCATTTTAGTGTCTCTGACAAAGGCACTGATGTTTAAAGAAACCTCTTGAACAATTTAAGGCCCACTTAATAAGTGTATTTGTAGAAACTTGTGATGCTGTCTATTTTTCAGCTAATTGAATATGGCGTTTTGTTTTATATTTGTATTTCCCACTCACTAAAGATTTTAGCTGCCTTTCCTGCAGAAAGCAAAGTCCACTCAGGAAGTAATAGGCAGCTGTTAGATCAGGGATCTCAATAGAGAGAACTATATCCCCTGCCATGAGTTGATAAATATCTTTCAACTGTTTGCATTTGTTCCCCTTTTTGGCCTTAGAAGAGAGATGGCTGAGTGTGATTGCAGGGTATAAGTCAGCTAACCAGCCTTCCAGAACTTCCTGCAGAGCAATACCCAGCACTAAGGAAAAAGTCAGTAGCTCCTCCCTATGTGAAATTCTCTCTGTGTAGAATTAATGGAATCACAGTTGTCACAGAAAGGAAGGAAAAAGAAGGAAAAAAAATGAAGTCGGTTGGTCAGGCGAGCTCTAAACTCAACTTAGAAGGAGTCATTAGTTCTTCCTACTGTTGAATGTCCATTTTCAGCAATTTGACATCTGTAACTCTGAAAGAACAAATCTCAACCTTGATATCTATAACTCTGAAAGAACACATTTGTTTATTTTACCAACTGTCTTTTCTCCTCTGAAGTTGTTTGACCCATTCATTCAACAAAGGAGGACAAGTAAAATCAGAATGGAGAAGAAATAGAACAAAGGGAACAGTTTATGTCGTAGAGGGTGATTGGGTGATTGGCAAAGAAAGAAATGACTTCAGACTCAGGGGAGTGAGAGAAATGTGATCAATAAAGCAATTCTGAGATTAACATTTGTAAACTGTCCCCCTCCCTCACTAAGTCCAGCCTATCTCATGCTTGTTTGATTTGTAGTGAAAGTTCACATTGTTTATAAAGAAAAGAAAGAA